CAGTGATCCTCCTTCCTCAGCCTCCCGAGTGCTGGGATTACAGGCATGCCCCACCACGCCTGGTCCCAAGGACCCTTTTTGTTGCTAGCTATCTGCTGGCCATCAGTGTCAGATCCTGGAAATCACTTGCACTTCCTTGCCACATGACCTGGTTACATAGTCTGTTCACCTTATGGATGGATACTTGCTCTCTTTCAGGCAAGCCAGAGTGCTGACTTCCTTTTCTCTAACCAGCCAGAGAAAAACATCTTTCTAAAGGCCTACCTGAGTCATGCCTACCACAGCAGTCTCCCTAGTGTGGTAGAACACACATTTATGGTGGTCCAGCTGTGTTAAGGAAGGATTAAATGTACAGAGGCGAGGGTTATTGGAGTCATTTTAGAATTCTGCTTACCCAGCCTAGATACAGCAAATCTCAACTTGGACTGGTTGTATTTCATGTGCTCCATAGACACATGTGGCCAGTAGCTACCATACAGAACAGCACCGCTCTAGGCTGTGCCAGTAAGCTTTTCCCTCAACGTATTACAGGATTGTCTTGCTCAGTGATCACCTTGCCCAGTTCCCTGAATTTATCTACAGAGAAACTGAGGCAGATCTGCTGAGAAGCAGGTCTCCCATTTCTTGGCCGAGGACTCTAAGGGCTACCACCCTTAAAACTCAAGGGTTCTCCTTGGAGTTGGAGAGGTGGTTTCTACAAAGAGAAAAGGACAAATCTATTTCCCAAGGACAAAAGAGAATGGAACCAGGATCTGGTGTCATCTTCCAATCAGGTTATAAAAGGTAATCCATGTTTTGGATAAATTCGCGAGCAGTAGGAGTGAGGAGACTAGCTTTATGGGTCACAGGGGTTAAAAGGGTATCTATCTCCTATACATGCAATGCGTAGGCTGTGCCCCAAATTCTCCAGTCTCTGACCAAAAGTGACAGTCTAAATCCATGGAGTTTTACCTCTAGAGTAAGCTTGGTGTGGTAGAAAATGCAGAAAGTTTTGGAATTTCTGGTAGACAATTTATAAAATGTCTCCCAGTGACATCTGCCTCCTAGTATTTATACCTTAGTGTCATTTTCTTCTCTTGAGCTGTGGGTGGGGCCCTGGTTGGTCTCTAGTGAAGAGAACAGGCAAAGGCAGGCCACTTCCGAGATCAGGTTACCCAAGGCTGTGACTTCACTGGTTTTGATGAAGCAAGTTGTCATGCTAGAAGGGCAAGGAAATGAAGGTGACTTCCAGTCAGCTGCCAGCTAGGGACTGTGGTATTTTGTCCACCAACCCTCAAGAAGCTGAAATTGTGCCAATGACTATGTGACTTGAAGTAGAGCCTTCTCTAGTTGAGGCTCAGATGAGACTCCTACCCTTGCTGACACCTTCACTGCAGCCTGGTTAAGCAGAAACCCTGAAGCCAAAGGGCTCAGGTTCCTGACCCATGGAAACTGTGAGACAGTAAATGTGTGTGGGCTGAGTGTGGTGGTACATGCCTGTAATCCCAACTACTCAGGAGGCTGAGACAGGAAGATCACAAGTTCCAGGCCCAGCCCAGGCAACTTAGTGGAACCCTGACTCAAAAAACAAAACAAAACAAAAAACTAGAGCTTAGTGGTAGAAAACTTGCCTAGCATATACAAGATTCTAGGTTTAATGCCTAGTGTCACAAAAAATTGAAAAAAATAAACGGATTGTTTTAAGCCACTACATTTGTGTTACTTGTTACGTAGCAAGAGATAACAAATAGTTGGGGTTTGAATCCTGTCTTTTCCACTAAGTTCTTGTGTGACCTTGGGCAAAGCATCTCTTCCAGGGATATGTATCTCCTTCATCTGTAAATGGAATAAACCCTCCCTTTCAAGAGTGAGGAGAGGATTAGCATGCACTGTTCCCTCTCTAAGAACAAGTTTTCCTACCCTTTGTCTACACAGAGTATCAGTTAGAGTTTAATTTAGCTGTAGGAAAAGAAATGGATTCATACTAACTTCACCAGAGAAAAACACTTTTTTTTTTTTTTTCTGTAGGCCGGGGGGGATAACATCTCCTTTGGGAAGCCTTACTGGTTTCCAGGCTGTTAGGTCCCTCCTGACCTCCCATAGCCTTCTAGTTTCCTCCAGTCTGCTGACTGTCCTACAGCTCCCATTCCTGGGCTCCAACTCATCCATGAGTGCATGATCTCTGTGAAGGCACAGCCTGGAGCCCATGTGAGCATTTATTGAATAGGTGAGGGAGAAAACAATGTTGGAGTCTGCAAAAAGTATCAGTGCTCACCTCCCCAGGAGAATTTCCAGGAGGTGACAATGCATTCCAGGAGACAGACAATGCAGTTGGAGCAGAATGGGTTGGAAAGTATCAGTTAGAGTTTAATTTAGCTGTAGGAAAAGAAATGGATTCATACTAACTTCACCAGAGAAAAACACTTTTTTTTTTTTTTTCTGTAGGCCGGGGTGGATAACATCTCCTTTGGGAAGCCTTACTGGTTTCCAGGCTGTTAGGTCCCTCCTGACCTCCCATAGCCTTCTAGTTTCCTCCAGTCTGCTGACTGTCCTACAGCTCCCATTCCTGGGCTCCAACTCATCCATGAGTGCATGATCTCTGTGAAGGCACAGCCTGGAGCCCATGTGAGCATTTATTGAATAGGTGAGGGAGAAAACAATGTTGGAGTCTGCAAAAAGTATCAGTGCTCACCTCCCCAGGAGAATTTCCAGGAGGTGACAATGCATTCCAGGAGACAGACAATGCAGTTGGAGCAGAATGGGTTGGAATTTGGTGGCTGAGGACAGAGCTGGTATGGCACGGACCCTGTGGAACAGGTAGGGAGTTAGACAGGAAGCTGAGCAAGTGCATGTGGATGCTCCATGTGTAGTTAAGAAGTCACAACCCCTAGCCTGCCATCTCCATCCACATAGCTAGGACCTAGAATTGAGGGCCCCAACACAGTCTTGTAGCCCTTAGTAGCTAAGTTTTAATTAGTCCACCTGGAAGTTTCCTGCTGAGATTCCTGAGATGTTTGAGATGCCTCTTCATACCTTTCAAGAAAGAAATGCTGGGAAATAAGCTGTGCACCAATAGACTTGGGTTCCAGTTGTCTAGAATTGAGCTTGCTTGGGGCTTTGTGAGCCCCACCTTTCAGGTGAGTTGGGAAAGCTAGAAAATAAATCTCCAAAGACCTAGTGTAATTAAGATAGTTAATAGGAATATGAAGTTTGGGGTCATCCTGTTTGAGGTTGAATCCTAGCTCTACTACTTATAAGTTGTATGACTTTGGACAAATTAACCTCTTTTTTGCCTCAGTTTCCCTTCTGTGTGAATGGGGAAAATAATAAAGACTAGGTAGTAAGGCTAGGAGGATTTAATGAAGTTATACATGTCAGTAATTAAAGGAACACCTGGTGCAGGATAACTATTCTGTAATTGTTAGCCCTTGTTAGTTTTATTAGTATCTGAGCAAGAGTATTATCACTTAATCCTGGTTACATCACTTCTCAGCAGGGGGTCTCAGGCCACCACTTGTTTCAGTGCCCCCGTTGCTTCATTGTGAATGGGAATGACCGTGCCAACCCTTAGGGCTGTGGGGTGAGAGCATGAATGATGTTTCACAGTGGGAGGTGTAAGGTGGTGTTTACTGTGGACTAATAACATCTGTTAGTCAGGCACTTACTGTGATAAATCTGTGACCAACAGCTCCAGATCTCCAAGGCTTCTCACCACAAACATTTATTTCTCTCTTGCAACTTTGAGGCGTGGCTGGACAGCTCAGCTTCAGGGCTGCCCTATGTGTCTCTCAGACTGTGACCAGCAGCATCTGGGCAAGCCCTTCTCGTGGCAGAGGCTGGACCCTCTGAGGAGACTGCTGACTGGTCTTGAAACTGGCACACTGTCACTTCTACCCACAGCCCTTCAGATAGATCAAGTTCTTAGCCAAGCCCCAGATCACTGGGGGCAGGGATACATACTCTCCCCTATGAGGCATGGAAGGGAAGGGGCAATTGTGGGCAAAGAATAAAATCCTCTAAATTATCTGTGAAGTCCCAGAGGTTATGGACCGGGAAACTGAGGCCCAAGAGGACGTAAAGAAATATCTAAATTCACAGGTAATGACTCCCAGAGAGCTCTTTCTTCCTCTCCCAGGCCTCACCTCTTGTCCACTTAATTAGCATTTGCTACTTTGAGTTCAGACATTTGAATCCCCTGAGAAGGATGTTGGCAACTGGGGAGAAAGTGGAATTCTTTCCATCTCCCAGCAGTGCAAACAGAAGCCTGGAGTGGTGGAGAACTGGATCACAAGGAGAGGTCAAGAGAAAAGGGAGAGAAGGCCCAGGATTTCCAGGTCCATCTCCACAGTGACCGCACAACACCCAAGACCATAGCAGAACAAAGAAAGAGGGGGGAACCTGCTAGCCTCTTTCCATTCCCAAAGCAAGTGCTGGTGGGGAGAGTCAGGAATGCAGATGTCTGGGTCCGGGGATATCTTTTGGAATGGTTGTCATTCTTTTCACTGACCCTCGTCCCACAAAGAAACACTCATGAACCCTGACTACAGACCATGCCCTGGGGGAACTGAGGCAAGTGAGGAGTAGCCCACTAGTGGGTACGGATTCACCGTTAGCGGGGCATCCCAGCTGCTCAGACAACATTTCCTGAACCGTGGTTGCAATCCAAAATGGTCCTGGTCAGTATTTGTATGCAACGCTATGCAACATTGACTCTTGGAGCGAGACACTCTCTTTTCGATCCTGATTACATCAGGGAGAAGCCCCTGTTTAGAGCTTTGCATCTTTGATATCTCTTTAACCCTTGCTAATCTCCATTTATTAGAACAAAGATAGAGAGCAGGCTCCAGGCTCAGTCTTGGCAGGTGGCCTTATCTTGCTGGAGTTTAATAATATTATTTAATTGGATATGATTTAATTTAATGGAATTGAGCTGTTTTCACCGTATTTCTTTTTACAGTTACATTCTATTTGTGGCCAGTGATCTTGAGTATTTTCTGTTCAAATACAGTTATATACAAAAGTGAATTGTGTAAAGGGAAGCATTAAGTAAATAGTAGCATAGGGCAACATGCAACAGAGGGAAATTGTGAAAGTGTGTGTGTGTGTGTGTGTGTGTGTGAATGGCCTGATGTTTAGAGATTCTGCTAGGATTTGCATTCTGGAGTCTGGGCTCCACAAGCAGGGGCCCACCTGAGTTGGGCTTTTTAGGGGCAGACAGAATGTGCAGAGAGGTGTGAAAATGGGCACTCAAAAGGGTGGGAAGCTCAGCACGACAGTGGTATGAGTCCTAAGGTGATAAAGAGGAGTGCCTTGGAGGTCAGGCTATGGACCTCAACTCCCAGGAGGAGAAGCCGAGGCAAATGTGTTGCAGGGAAGTCACAATGGGTCGGTGTCTCTCTGGTTGGATCCGGCAGAGATAATTCTCTTTGGGTGCCCAGGTCCTTGGTTCTTCCTGCTGGGGATTCCAAGCCATGGTCCTATACCAGAATTAGCCTGACAAGAGAGAAAAAAAGGTTAACCCCCTTTCAAAAAGGGATCTGAGTTCCAGGCTTGATCTTCCCATCCAGGCCCCACCTGCCCGCACTAATAGCTACTAAGGAAGGACTCTTCAGCTTCCTTCTAAAGGAGACTGAAGCCCAGAGCAGTTTAGGGATGTGGAGGACAGAGAATCCCTAGTCATTCTAATGAGACTCCTCCCACCCTATCCATTTCCATAGTTCTGGGAGACTCTGGCTTTGGGGGCAGATATCCCTGCCAAGCTGGTTGAGCAGGAAAGCAATCTCTGAGCTGGGGCTGTAGAGGGACCCCTCACCCCAGGAGTTGTACCTCTGGTAGGGTTTCGACAGTCCCGGCCACAGGCACCTGGGCAACACCGCTTCCCTCGTGGGCAGTCAGAGTCACAGCTACACAAGTGCTTCACAGGACTGAGGCAGCGCAACTGGTCCTTAGGGCAGCTGCCTGGCTTTACTGCAACACAAGGGCCTGGTAAGTTCTGCCAACCATGAGGCTTGGGGCTTGGGTTGTCAGCAAGGTGGGGGGGGCACTTACCTAAGACCCTGGGGACACACTGGCGGAAACAAGCTTGGGGACAGCACTTCTTGCCTGAGGAACACTGGCTGTCGCTTGTGCACTGGTCAGGCACTGACAGGCAGGGTTTATCGTCTGGTGGGCAGCCCCCATGTTTCTCTGTAAGAGAACTCCCACATGTTGTAGCAGCTCATTGTTGACCTGGGAAGCTTTTTCCCCCTTCCCATGGGGCATAAATAATAGGAAAAGGTGAAGTTCAGAATCCACTGTGGCTGGTGTAGTGGCACACACCTGTATTTCCAGCACTCAGGAGGTTGAGGCAGAAAGATTGCTGTGAGTTTAAGGATAGCCTGGGCTACATAATGAGTTCAAGTCCAGTCTGAACTACATAGGGAGAACCTGTCTCAAAAAAAAAAAAAAAATCTCCACTGTGGCCAGTAAGATTGACATGTCCTGGTCCTGCCCATCTCTCTGGCTTCATCCTCTTCCACTTAGTGGCTCCTGATCTGCCCCACAGCAGTCCTCTTTGCAGAGCTCTTGCTTTGTTGACATCCTTTGCCCAGGGTCCACCCTCTCTTCACCTGGTCAACTGAAACCACACATCCTCAGAAAACCCTGCTTTCTCATCCCACATTAACTAGGTCAGCCCCACCCCACCTCTGGGGACTCCCAAAGTATCTTTCCTGGGAGACTTTTTTATTTTTTTATTTTTAAAATTTTTTTGTTACAGAGGATTGAAATCGGGACCTTGCCCTTTCGAGGCAGGCGGTGGAACCATTGAGCTAAACCCTGACCCCCTTGGAGCCTTTTTGACTTTGCAGTTGTCTGCACTTCTCTCGGCCAGAGGCTGTGCAACTTGTTACCCCGCTATCTGCTCCACACACTTTGAGTCCCAGGACAGCACCTGGTACACAGAGGAGCTCAGTGACTATTTGCAATAAAGGGTTTTAAATGAGACCCAGTGTTGGACATTGTCAGCTATTGCTGGCCGTATGTGTTGCCCCACAGGCAAGATCAGCTATATCTGCACTGCAGTACTCCTCACTGTTTCAAGTGGCAGGTTTCGGGGTCAGGGATTAGCTCTCTGTGTGAGGTATTCTTCCAGATGGCTACAGAATGCTTTGTCCTTAAGTTTAGCTAACTACTCTTGTCACCGTTTTGGAAGGAAGAAATCAAAGGCTTTGGGGGCAGTGACTGGCCCAGACTCATATGGGTCTGGTTCCCTCTGACCTCTGTGACCTTCTGCTCTGACTGCTTTTGAGCTTTAGGAATGGGACTGACCCTGGTCCTGGTCCTTCATCTCAATCCAGCATCACAGAAAAGGCCCAGGAGCGCCCTTTAGCAGCCGACCAAGGATTGTGATGATGTCTTTGTGTCACCTTGACATTTTGCCCCTGCCTGGGCACTGTGCACAAATCCAGTAACCCCTTGCTCACCGAATGAGAGAGAGCTTGAGGTCAGCTTCAGTCCTTAGGCTGGGCTAGTTTAAATTAAATTGCTGCCCCCTGCTGGAGAAAGAGTGGCCTAGCCTGGGAAGGAGCCCTTGCTCTGTTGAGCGTCTCTTGGTGGAGACATGGGGAATTTGGGAGGATAGAGGTCCATGTGAGGGGCCCGTGGACACTGTCGTAGATCTAGGGTTTAACCCTGAGCTCACAAGCCCAGGCCAAGTGGGAAGAACTGCTCCAGCCACAGCGTGGGGCTGGGCATTTAAATTTGGAGTGTGCTGAGGTGTGGGGCAGTGGGTCTGTGTGACCACACCCTCTGTGTTGTCTGTCTTCCTAACCTTTCCTCTACCTCCAGGTTCCCCATACATAGGCAGGCAGTCTGTGAATGACGCAGTCATCTACACAGATGGCAGTCCAGATGCACGTGCCATTCAGACTCAGATTGAGTTTCTATCTCAGCCTTGGTTAAATAGATGTATCACATACACGGATACCTACGCATGGCAAAGAGACCAGTGGAGAATGGAATGTAGTGAACTAGGGGAGAGACAAGTGTGTGTCCCACCTGGCCACACATACAGGCCCTGAGTATGCCCAGGCTGGTTGGCCCTGACCCTTGTTCTGAGCAGCTGGATAAGGTGTCAGGGCATGCAGTCCTGGGACCCCATTACCCCCAGCTCACTCCTCGGAATTGTCTGCTTACAGTGCACTTACTGTATGCCTGGCACTTATTCATCAATGCAGTTTATTCCTGAGGGAGAGTAATGGGGACTCCACAGGGAATATGTTGATAAGGGAGTGTTTCTAAAACCCTGTGCTGAGGGGCCGTCATTGTTACTAAGAGTCAGTCTTTGGCCTTGAGCAGGTGATTCCCCATTATGCCTTGGCAAAGATGGGGATAACAGTCATGCCAGCTCAGCACATTGCAGTGAGGAGTTGTGTGGTGACAGTGCATAGATCACAGCTAACCCTGGATCTGGCTTTGGAACCTACCAGCATCCTTCTTTCCTCAGCCTGAGGGCTGTGAGCACCCGCTTCCCACACCAGCTTATTCCTCAGGTAGGGACCTGTGCCTCTGAGGAAGGCATAATTTAGGTTAAAGGGGCAGAGAGGATACAGAAACTGCTCCCTAGTGTCCTGTAGAAGAGGAGAACCCATCCGTATACAGCTGTGTTCCCCCAGCAGACCAGAGCTGTATAGGTGAATGTAGGCCAGAGTGTTCCAGCCCCAGAAGGGAAGGAAAGTAGTACCTCACCTGATCACGAGGCACCTGTCTATTTACTGTAGCACCCTCGCCTACCTTACCTGTCAACAAGCCAGCCCCAGCCTTGCCGGTTGTGGGAATGGGTCAAGAGGAAGGGAATGGAGAAGAGAAGCAGATACGGATCCCTTCCAACAAGTCCTAGATCTCAGGAGTCACACTTCCCATTCAGCTCTCAAACCTCTTCACAGATGGGGCTAGGACCCTAGGAGGCCAGCAAAGACCCAACTCCATGAATATGACCACAGAATGGTTGGTACGGGCACGTTCCGTCCTGCCATACCCAGAGGCAAAGATACACAAGGACACATGTGGATGGGTACACAACCTCAGATCCACATGGATGCAGCCATTGCATGATTCATACAGTCAGGCACAAAGAAAGAGAGACACACGTGCACAACCTTACACACACTGAAATGTAAGGACAGGCACAGACAGGCACTAAGAAACAGGCAGGAAGACATTTACACACAGACACACACATGTGGATAGGTACAGAGCTGCACACACAAAAAAAAAATGTTCTCCTGGAAGCACTAAGCAAAACACACACACACACACACACACACACACACACACACACACACACACACACACACACACACACACACACACACACACACACCGCATTATCTGTCCTTCCCCAAACTCTTTACTTTCTCCAGAGAGATAAGAGAGATATAAACAACCCACTCCCTGGAACTGGAAGATTTAGCCACGCTCACCTCCTTTTCTCCTGCCAGAGGCAGCAGGCACTTGGCTCCCCAAAGCCAGGAGGGCCACCAGGAGTAGGAAGCTCTGGATCCTCATGTTTCTGCTGCCAGCACATAATAAGATCCCCAAATTAACATCTGTGGCCCTGGGGAGGCCAGAGGATCTGAGTCAGAGAAGGAAGAGGGGTGGATGGTGTGGCACGTGTCTACCTCCTCCTGGCTCCACCTCAGGGCAAGATGCTTGTGCAAGAACTAAAGACAAAGTGGTGCAAGTCTTGCATGTTGGAGGACTTGGATCCAGTTCTGCCTGTATCTCAACTGGAGTGTGATGTTGGGCAAGTCTTGTCTCTCTTTGGACTTCAGTTTTTCACATCTGTATTGTGAAAATAAAAGGAAAATCACAATAAAATCATCACTGAGAGAATTTTTAACAATGGACTTGGAAAGCTAGTTGGCAGTTGGGCTTATCAGCACATCTCAAGCTGGTGCCTGAGAAGTCACCTTTGACTGCAGGCATCTGGAATGACCACATTATACCATGGCCGGAGACTTTTGATGCATAGCACGAGATTGTCAGACTCTTGTTTTATGGACATTCTAACCAACTATATACATTCTTTTATTATCATCTTTGGTCAGTTAGACCTGTTATTTCTCAGCATTCAATAGAAATGTCCTACAAAGAGGTTTTTTTGCTTTGTAATAAATCAGCATTGTTTGCCCATTCAAGTCCCCGTGTTGCCTGTCTTCTTCAGAACACTGAATCTGATGAGTTCTCTGAACTGGTATCTTTTGAATTGCAATTGTTAGGGCCCCAAGTAAATGCTTTTTACTTTTATAGCTTCTGAGTTTGAATTGATTGACAGCATAGACTAGTGATGGTAAACCTAGAGACAAGTGCCCAAACTGCAACCCAAAGCCCACTGATCTATCACAAAGTGCCAACCGTGCGATTAAACCTTAATATGGGGGTGTTAGTTTAGAAAAACAACTCATACATTAATGTCTTCTGTCTTAAAAGAAAAGCAAAGGGTATACGTGTCATAGGTTCATCACCACTGGTATAGAGGATGAAAGGGAAGTCAGGTGCTTGCTTTCCTAGCTCTCTGATGTCTTGAAACTCTAGCATGTCTTGTGTAGGGGACAGAAGTCAGTTTGGAATGGCAGAGAGGGCTTTGCAGAGGTCTGGATGCCTAGGAAGGGAGACAATGGTGGAGTTAGGGCCAGAGCTTCCTGCCAGAGAAGCAAGGCCAGGTTGGCATGATGAGTGAGGCCAGCTGTGGTCTCTCCCCTTGGGCACCTGTGAAAAGGAGAGAGAAGACCCACCCTTTGGTGAGATCACCTCCAATGGTGTTTAGTAGAACTGTCTTCTGCCTGTGCTGATTTTGTAGTCAGGTGTGGGCTTTGGGTTGGCTAAATGTGCTAACTGTGACAGATATAGGTGCCAGTGGGACCCCTTCTTTGGCCACAAGGGATCCTGAAAACAAAATATCATATTACTCAGGGATTCCTATCTTGGATTTTACATCTGTAATGCTGGTTCCTTCATGTGGTGAAAGAGGAGTAGCTGAGACAAATGGAAACTCCATTGACCATAGTACTCTGTTAGCACTGGGGCAGTTCAAACTTTTCTCCCAGCCCTCCCATTTTCAAGATGAGGAAACTGTCAGCCAGAAAGGGGAGATGACTGGCCCAAGGACACACACCTCATCTTAAGACTAAGCTGGGACTTCCGCTGGTGCCTCCCTAGTTCCTGGGCATCATCATCTGACCCTAAGAAAGGGAAGTGACATTCCAGGGCTCATGTTACTCACTCATTTAGTCCAGAACAGGCAGACAGGAAATTCTTCCTTGCATTTAATTTAATCCCTCATGCTGTTGTTTAAACTCTCAGGAAGAGAGGCTCTGTCTTCTGTGTTCTGAGGTAACTTTTTGGATTTGGGTGCCTTCTTGGCAGCTTTGTTTTGGAGGGAAACATTAGTGGTTTATTTTTCCTGATTATAAATTACACATATTTATTGAAGGAATGATTTTCAAATTAATGTTATTTTATCACATTTTCCTGTGATGTGGAATGTTCTGTAAACATGTTTTCTGGTGGCTAAGCGGTATTTTTTGTGCCAAAACATACATGATCAGTTCTTCTTCTTTTTTTTTTTTGTTAGTACGTGTTTGTAGTACATGTTGCTTACATTCCTTGTGGGAAATTGGTACATCATACATCTTAATTTTTTTTTATATATCTCTGTCCCTTCCCTCCATCTCTCCATCCATCTCTGGATCTTCTTCCTTTTTAAAATTAGTACATGTTTGCAATACATAATGTTTATATTCCCTGCGTGGAGTTGGTACATTATATATTTTCTGGTGAATTCCCTGTTTTTGCATTTTGCCTTTAAAAAAAAAAAACACACACACAAATTGAACTCTTGCCAGCCAGCTGTGGCACCACTGAGCAACATCTGTGGCCTAGACAGACCTAGTTTTTAACCTTAGTGCTATCAAGTTCTAGCAATATGACTCACTTATCTAAAATTCAGTTTATTCTGTAAAACAGATAGAGATAACATTTATCTTCTAGAATATCGCTAAGGACTGAAATGAACTTCAGAAGTGACTGTTTTAGTCCTTTATTGAAAATATTTCTTTTCCCTTTTGTTTTTGCTTTGTTCCAAAATTTTAAATATTGGATATAATCAAATCAGGCTTTTCATTTATAGTTTCTCTTTATTTTTATGCTAAAAAGGCTTTTTGAATCTGATGTTGGATAAATATTCACTATATTTTCTTTTGGAGAATATTTCATTTTCTTAATACATTTATGAAAATGCATTGTTTAATTTATCTGAAATTTATTTGGGCATAGTGTATAAGATAGAAAATATCTTTTAAAATTACTTTAAAAATGCCCCTTAGTACTTACTGAATAATTCAAACTTTTGCTATTAATTAGAAATCAGAACATTATTATTAAAAACTCAAGTCTAATACATCTTAGGAGCTGTTTCCGGCTTTTCTGTTTTCTTTGTCTACTCTTGTATCAGTATTGCTATTTTAATTATAGTTTTACAAAATGATTGATGGTATCCATTACTGTTCACTAACCTACATTTTCAATTTTCCATGTCATAAGCACTTCATTCTTCCGGATGAGCCTGATGGTGATTTTGTTACATCAGAAAAATAAATGTTTTTTATCATAAATTGTATCATTAAAAAATTGAGAAATACATGAAAGACCAGTAACTAATTTTAGAAGCCCTATAAATTCATTGAGATTCAGTGATGAACATTTTACAAGCTTCCCTTCATGTTGTAAAGATAGATGAATGTGCTTTCTCTCTTTCTTGGGTGGAGCATTTTAAAGTAAAGCAGATCTTATAGGTTACCCTCAGATACTTCAGTGTGGATCTTTTAGAAAGAAAGATTTCTTGTTTTCTAACATAACACCATTGTCATACCTAAAAAATTAACTAATTTCTTCACATCACCTAATATTCTTATTTGCTGTTTTCCTTATTGCCGTTCACATGACTTTGTAGACTTTGTGTACTTGGATCAGAATCCACACAAGGTGCACACATGACGTTGGCTGTAATGTCCATGAAGTTTCTTTTGGTTGAGAATAATCTCTCCAACTCCTTTCTGTCCTCCCTTCTTTCCTCCCTCCCTCCTTCTCACTGCGCCCCTCTTCCCTCTGTTATTTACTTGTTAAACAGAACAAAGAGTGGTCCTTCAGAAGGTCCCATGTTGCTTCCTTATGTTAACTGTCCAACATCTCTTTCATAGTTTTGGAGATTAGCGAGCTCCTCTGTCTTACCAGGACCCCTCTGTAGATGCTGTATGGTTCCTATGACATCACTTCTGGAGGAGCAGCTTTCTTGCTGACTTGCTTTTAGTGTTTGTTGTGAAGACAGATGAACGAGTGTTAACTAGTATTCCTGAATCTTCCTGTTTCATCTGGGGGATGAGCACTGTGCTCAGCTGTCCGAGCAGTGCACTGGGATCATAAACTCAGCTCCAGTAAAAAATTAGAGGGACAAAGTTTAATGATAGGAGGACACTTCATTTGTAGAGGAAAAGGGGGAGTGGAGATGATAGATGGCTACCCTATTAAGAAAGAATCAGGGTAGGGAACTGTGGAGAGATGGAAGACCCATGGGCTTTTGTTCTCTGCTGCTTTACGACAGCCCCATTCACATACGCATACACACACCCTGGAACATTCCATAACTGGATTGGCTTCAGGCACCTCTGCCTAACATCCTTTCTTCCAGGGCTCTAGTGCAGCTTCTTTGTTTTGTCTATTTGTCTTTGACTTACCTTTCAAGGCCTTATCTTGGGCAGCTAGTTGGCAAGGGGGGTACCTTATTCATGGTTGGTTTAGAGTTAATAAGGGGTTGTGTGTGGATCTTTTTCACATTGTACAAACCCTTAGATTCTCTTTATTCACTAGTCCATTTCTACCACAAATACATCCAAAACACTGTATAATAAAATTATTTACAACACTTCCAAATGACAAGATTGTTTTTGCCGCTGCTAGCTATTCACTCACAGTACTTCCACAGCCCACTACCTCCTTAGGAGATCTAAAAATCTTTACCCTATACTCTTGGCTGCTTAGGAAATAGCATTAGCTCCTCTCAATACATGGCAACATTTTAGAAACCTTGAACTTCATCTTGCACCACCAAAAGGGCTCAACAACCCTGCTCTTCCCATTGCCCTTTACAAAATAGGCTACATGGACTAGGACAAGGGCCACATTATTCAAACGACTGTACAGAAATAGATTTTTAAAAGTCACAGCTCAAAATTGCTCTTTGTAAAATTCACACACATTTACAAGTATCACATCGTTGTCCAGCTGGTTTGCTTGGATTGAACCGCACTGGTTATAACTTCAGTAGAGCCTGGAAGCTGAAGCAGGTTGAGAGGGTCGTTTATGATGTCCGTTTTCCACACTTTCGGAAGCCACAGTTGGCTCTTCAGTTAGGGAGTTTATTCGGCTTGGGGTTTTGGATGTTTCAACTATGCCTTTTGGCTCACTTTGACCAGAGACGATGGCAGCATTTACCTGTAGTTCTGATCTGGCAACAGGGCCCTGCAGCGCTGTGGCTGCAGTCTCCTGTGGGACTAAGTTCTGTGAAGGGGTTGGTGGCTGGTCTGAAAATTCTGGCAGTTTAGGGCCTGTGTTGTCCAAGTTAATTCCCTGTTCACTAGGCAGTGGTTGCTGCTCAGCCTCCTCCAGACCACCTGGGTGAGTATCTGGGTGTTTAGATCTTGCTGACTATTTTTCTTCTTCTGAGAGGGTTTTTTCTTCTTTGGTTTATTTGCATTGGTATTATTTTGCTTATTGTTTACCCCAAAATAGCCTGCAGAGATATCACTCTGCAGTAAGTTGACCAACAATGGGCTTATCAGTGTTACGTCCTTATTGACTGGGAAGCCTGGTTTCTGACCACAGGTCATCTGATTTCTGTTGGGTGCCCCACTGAAAGGTGCATTGAAAGGCATCCCGTGGCCTGAGAAGTGGTTTCCCAAGGCATTGTCTCCCTGCATGGCCTGCACAAGAGAGGGGACCATGTTATTTGTTACTAACGTCAGGCGTCATCTGAGACAAGCTGACATCATTACTTGCTGTAGTAGCAGAATCACCATGCTGCTGGGCTATGTGGGTACTAGGCCCTGATGGTGGCAGGACTTGCCCTTGAATCCCCGGAACCTGAGATGGACTGTTGTTTAAGGGCCCTTGCTGGGGCAGCATCTGTCCTGACATCTGTCCTGTAAACTGCACCATGCTTCCTTGCATGTTAGAAGTTGGTCCCCTCATTATCTACGTTGGTCCCGGCATGACATTGGATTGGTTTTGGGTGTTAAACTGCTGCTTATTCCCCTGCATTCGATTGGTTGTGATTTGCTCTATCATTGGGTTCTGCTGGAGCAAAGCTTGCCCCTGAGTCCCCATCATCTGGTTATGTGGTGCCATTATTTGTTGGCCTTGGTGGGAAAACAACTGCTTAGGTGGGGTCACTTTGGGGTTTTTAGGACTGTGATTCTGAGCATTCGCCATCATCTGGCCCTGTGGCATAAGCTGGAAAGGTCATAGGGTTCTGAGGGTTCAGAGTTCCTTGTTTCTGAACCATCTGGCCCTGGGAGGGCACAATCTGTGGTGCATGCCCATCAGCTGAGATGGTGGGCCTTGCTGGGGTTGGTTGGCCTTCCATGTTGCTCAGGTTCACCCGAGGAACCCCAGAACTACCAGCTGGCTGGTTGTTCATGTTGCCATGAATTCCCATGAGGCCAGGCTGCACCATAATTTGGTGGTGGGACACCTGCATCTGGTTTTGAGGAGGACCAGCTCCTTGACCATCTGCATGCTGGACATTTTAATTTGCTTGTAGCTGGGGAGCTCCTGAATTCCCAGGGGCGGTTGCTGTGGTGGAAGGCACCTGACCTTGCATGAAGTTCAGATTGACCTGTCCTGCTCCTAGGGCAGGATATAAATTCTGTGGCCCCTGATTTGGTGGTTGCTGCTGCATCACCATGAAGTTGCGTGGCACATTTCCCTGTTGAACCATAGGATTCCGACCCGGAGAGCTGACGGGCTGCTGAAATCCCTGGGGAAGTGGGTTATTTTTGAGGCGGCCTTGGTCCCATCTGCTGCTGAGTTTGGTTAATCGTTGGGGAAGATGCAGGGGATCCCTGCTGGAAGGAGGAGGGTGAGGAGGCAGGAGACTTGTTGGTGAGGTGGGGCTGCTGCAAGGGTGTTGGGACCCTGGAGGACCTCCCTGCATACTCTTCATCTGAGGAGCTGTGAACTGGCCTGGGTTGCTCATTTGAGGAAAGCTGGTATGGGCTTGTGAGGCTTGCTGGCTGCCAAAGGGATATGGAGGGGAGGGTGGGAAGGTGTCTGTACCGTGGCTAACGATGGTCTTGCCTGGAGTTGCTGTTGCACTGGGCCAGGGAAGGAAGCCTTCTTCCACCCCTGGTTTGCTGTCATTGCAGCCCAGAGAACCCAGGGTTGGAGGAGGCTGAAGGGCTCCAGAACACAGCGCTTCCAGCCTGGAAGTACAGATGTTGCTGTGAGAGTCTGGCCTGCAACTGTTGCTGCTGCTGCTGCTGCTGCTGGGGAAAATTAGCTGGGTTCGTTTGTCTGTTCACAGGAACAGGCTGCATTGGGTGAGGTGGAGGAGCTAAAGATCCCGAGGGATGACTCTGCTGTGGCCTATGGAGCCCAGAGAGGAGTGGATCCATTGCATCTGACTGAGAAGCAGGGCAAGGGGTCCTGGGTGGCTGTTCTAGATTGGTGCCTGGTACCATCATGGACGATGACGTTTCCAGCCTGGGGTATCATAACTGTGGCAGGGCTGGTCATCCTTATTAACCCTGGACCACCTGCCATGGGAAATCCTGCCTCCATTCTAACTGAATTTCCAGCTCCCGTGGGTCCATTCACTCTCACATCTTGGCTTCAGTTCTGAGCTAAAGTCAGGTTCCCCTTCAATCTGAACGGAGAGGATCCCCAGATCCCAAAGCTGCTGGTTGTTGCTCTGAGCCGGGATCTGTAGCCATCCTGCTGCTTCCCGAGGGATGTTGAAGGTCACACGCATAGTTCCATGTCTCCACCTTCTGTACTTTAGCTTGCTGGTTCCACGTGTAATAAATTAGGCACATTCTTTAATATGGTAGCCAATTTCCATTTGAAGTCTTTATCATCTGTATTTCCTCTGACCACCACAAAAATTGTAGAATCCTCGAAAATAGTATCATTGTTTTGTGTGTCATCATCTTCCAGTCCAGAGTGAAAAGTCCAACTCTGAGTCTTCCACTATTGATGAACAACAGGAAGTATAGATGTCTTCTAAGTTTGGGAGATCCCCCAAAACCACGGTGAATATTATACCAGAAGCATATGCCAAGTGGACAATGAGAAAACCAAAATATCTTTCTTAATTTTTGTCATTTATCCAGGTCATCTTCCAAGTCCAAAAAGCTGGCATTTTTAGGACTTGTATTTCAAGGTAGCAGCCAAATCAAAATTCTGAGCATGTGCCGGGCTCTCCTGGGCAGGCCTCAGAGCGCCAGCCTGGGCTGTGTGTGCCGCCCTTCGTGTGTCCACCCACACATTGGCCCGTTAATCTGGCCCTCAGTGCCCGGCCTCCCACAGCCTGACCCAACAGGGGCCTCGGGAAGCCGGTAGGGAGCATGTGGATATTTATTATGGTCTATAATTATATGATGAATATAGTGACCCTAGAGTGGAAAAAAATATATATATGCGTGCATAGCTATGAGTACATATTTGTATAAGAGCTTTTCCCAAAGTTAGTCAGCTCCTCTCCCCTTAGGTGTCCCCTGTATTGTATTGGAGGTGAGGGACTCTGCTTGGCTTTGTGTACCTTGCTCTCTCTTGACTCTGCCTGTCAGCTCTTACTGTCTTTGGTCTCTTGGTGCAGGTCCCAAGGCCATTTGGTGCCTTTCTTTATCTGGTCTTTCCCTCTCTCTACTTCTGTCCTTGACTTATTTCCCAGGGGGAATTTCTCTAGTAAAGTCATAACTTCTTTTAGTCAGATTAGTCAGAAGATCTAATGAGGCCCTGATTCTATTCTTTCCCCTGTTTACAGACCCCTACCCCTATACTCCCTGTGTGTTTTCCCAGTTAGGAACAGCAAAATCATCATGGGTTGATGATCTGCTAACCTCCAGAGCCTATAGTTCCAAGACCTCTTTTATTGAATTCTTATACTGTGGGCTACTATATTCCTATCCTAAACATCTTATGGTGAGGTACCGAAGAAAAGGCTCTGCCTGAAAGAGTGGAAATTACCAAAACCAGCCAGTCATGAGGCACTTACCCTGCCTCACCTGTACCTGCTGCAGAAACCATGGTGAAGACTTGCCCACATTGTCCCCTCACTGCTCCGCCTCCTGACTACAGTGCTCTCTCACATGATCGCCTGTGATGTAGCCTCTCCTCTTCAGATTTGTAAACTTAACAAATGCTCTTTTCAGCTGTGATTATGTTCTGATGTGTTGGCCTTGCCATGCCTAAATAATAATAAGAACTAAATTGTAAAACAGGACCTTGGAAAGTGAAAGAGTAGAAAACTGGAAGAAAGGATATCTGGCATAGGGAAGAACAGACTTGGGAGTGGGCACTTAGCATGAAGATTTGTATTACCTATTAGTGCTCACCAAAAAGCACCTCCCATGCCTGAAACACTGGACATGAAAGAAGAAAGGATTCGAAGAGTTGACACTAACCAGCTTTCATCACCATGCCTGTGATGAAACGCTGTGCAGCACAGGGTAGAGGACAGTGGGAGGTACGGAAATGCACCACTCCGACAGACACCCCAGATCCTGCTCTCTGCATCTGTCACCACGTTTGCACAGAGGCGTGCTTCATGCCTGGTGCTCCCAGCCAGTGTCTGGCTCTGCCCTCTCACTCTGGCTGACACATTCGCCACGGGATACTGCATAATCCTCTCTCATTCCCTCTTTCCTCACAGCAGTCAGCCCTGCATCATGATCTGATGGCTTTCTTTGCTTTAGCTTTTTCCCATTTCCGTCACAAATGTTTTGCCTAACAAGCTCCTGCTTACCTAATCATGTCTGAGCATCTGCTCAAATTAGCCCATGCTTCTGATTTGAATGGTTCAGGAAGTGATAGGAAAGGAGAGAGAAGTGGAAGATAAAACAAAGAAAGGGCACTGTTCCTTTACCCTAATAGATTCCTTTATCCTAATAGGTATTAATATCAAATGAGCATGGGAATTAGATTTCATTAGAAATATTAAAAAGTAAGATAGCAACATTATATAACTTTATATTTATATATTCATCATGTCCTAAAATTTTATTTCTTGTGATTATTATATGCAGTTATTATAAAATTGATAGCAATTAAAAACATTCTAAAGAACAAGTCTTTTTCAGATATACATCATTTATATATATGATATTTGTCTGACAAAATTCTTGAAGACCACTGTCACAGACCTCTTGCTACTGTTGTGGTCCTTAAGGAAGATGGAGACATGGAGGTACAAAGTGAAGCAATTTAAGGCAAAAACAATTTCATTATTAGGGAGGCTGATAATGCTAAGAGTCATAGCAGCTTGGCAGAACCACAGATAGAAATTCTTCATCAGGTTGCATCCACTTACCTACAAATGCCTCAAATTTCTCTCTCTCT